GTTTGTTCTTTAGTTACTCTAATATGTCTAAAAGCTACCAATAGCTCTTCTTGAACTGGTCAAGAATGGGTGTCATTCTCTGGAATGGACTAGCTACAAAAGAAAACAAACTTTCAAGAAGTTTTTACTAGTCAACAAGAACAGAACAGTCAATTGTTTTGAGAACAATAATTGTTAAATTTTCATTAAGAATATCAGGTATATTTTCATAACTTACCTTTTCTAGCTAATAATAAATAGTAAAAAATATAAAACTCACCTAATGTTTGATTTTGTCCCCAGAAGATAACAGCTCCTAACCCACTGTCGCTATGATTTTGGGGAAAATATGTGAGCAGGACATCCATTTGTGAATCCCCATCATAATCACCAGGGACTACACTTGTTACCAGTGCACTGAGATTCCTAAAGAAAATAAGAATTTAAAAAATATCAGAAAAATCACACAGGAAAGAACATCTGCTATATTATTATGTGCTACATGTCTTATCCTCTTCTGTTTCATACCTATTCCATAGCATCAATCACCCCCAAAATATTTCTTAGATTAAATTTTTTTCATTTGTTCATTTATTCATATATTTGCCATGAAAATTTTTTCAACTCAAAATTCAACATTTAATAGAAATAATTAAGTTTATTATTTCTTTTGTATCTAAGGACTACTTGTGTGTATAGATCTTTCTGGTCTGCAGAATTCATAATGAATAGAACATAGAGCAGTTTTATAATATCATAAATCTAAACTATATATCATTTATGTATGCTCATGCTCAAGCACTGGCTCCCTGGTAGAGTGCTTGTATAATAGGGACGAGGCCCTGGGTTTGACCTCCCTTATTGTTCAAACAAAAGCAAAATGAATACAAGGGACTGGAGAGATGGTTCAGTAGTTAAGAGCACATGCTTCTCTTGCAGAAGACATGAGTTCCATTCCAATACCCACAAGGTAGTTGACAACTATAACTTCAGTTCCATGGGGGATCCCATAATCTTTCTGATCTCTGAGGGTTCTTACATGCATGTGGTATACAGATGCTCAGTTTCACACACAACAATATTTATTTCTTAAATATTTAAGAAAAATAAAAGCAAAATCACTGTGGGAAAATTCATTTGAAAACATGGAAAATAAATACTAAGAGTTAAAAATAGTTGAATTCAAGAGGAATAATAGACTGTAGAAGTAAAAAGGTAGTTATCTTTATTTTGAAAAATATTCTAAATATTAATTAAAATGAGCTAAAGAAATAATTTAGTGGTTAAGAGAATGTATTGCTTTTGCAAAAGAGTTTGGTTTCCAGCACCATGAAAGGAGGGCAACTCACAAACACATGTAACTCCGGAGAATACAAAGACCACTCACTTCTGGCCTCCAAAGGCACTTACACTCACTCACATGCACAGACGGACAGACAGACAAATACTGTTACATTTGAGTTCTAATTAGACAGAGATGTGAGTGCACATGAGATGGCAGTGCATGCTTTCCTCAATTGCTGTCCACATGTTCTACTGAGATGGGGAGGGATCTGTCTGTCAATCTTGTCCCACCTCTCCAAGATGGGAATGCAAATTCATTTCAAGTCGATGAAGGAAGTACTTTGCTGAGACATCTTCCCACCCTCTCCTTAGTGATCAGAAATGGTTTACTTAGTGTTGATCCCGACTTATACTGTATGCAAACACCAAGTAAACCAATATAAGTACACCTTTCAAAATCGGTGTTTATGCAAGATAGTGACTCCTCTCTTCTCCTACAATCGAGTTCAAACGTTTTTAGTACTTAAAAATCCTAGTCTGAAAAAAAAAAAAGAATCCTAGTCTGCTTTGATTTCCCCTTCTCAGACTACAAGCCTCTGATGTACCTACCTTTTATGTCAAGTAAATCTTCTCATCCTTTCACAAAATGCTATTTTCATTAATATTTGTTGTATATGCTATGTGCCCAAACTTAAACATTATCAACTAATTCAAGCAATGTCATTAAGCTCAAATTCCATGACTGTCCGTCTGAAAGCCAAATCTTTGGTTTGTACTGACCCATCTCTTTCTCCTTTAGCTTAGAGAGAGCATTTAACTTGCTTCCTAGTATTTCCAAATCATGTTGGCTCACTATCATTGGGGGTTATTGTTTCATGTACTGCTAACCATAAAAAAAAAAAAAACAAAAAAAAAACGATAAGATTATTTAAATCACATTAAAAAAATTAAGGCAATTTCAAAGCTTTACTTCAATTCCGTCAAAATCAATATTAAAAACTCACCATTAGACCAAAAGAAAAAACAAACAGGACAGAGGTCATTGACCTTTCTTCCACATGCAAAATATTTTTAAGATGGTGAGACTTTTGTGAGTGATCTGCTTCTGCAGGAACAATCAGGATGAGACATAGTACATTAAAGAAAGCATATTAGATTGCAAAGGAATGAAGTGGAGGTCAGAGGACAACTTATAAGGGTTGGTTTTCTTCTTCCACCATGAGGATTTTGGGTATGTAACATCCATCAGACTTTGGTGGTAAGCGCCATTTCAACAGTCCTCACCATGCTTATTTCATTTATTTATTTTTAACAAATTGCTTACTACTCAGACCTCAGAACTAGAAATTCTGTGTCACAATACCACAGCTGAACACAACTGATTTCAAATATAACCCAAGCTACTGCATATTCATAATAAAGATAAATAAAAATAAATTATAATAAATCATTCTTTCCCAAAATAATGATCTGTACTTACTTCAAGGATACCTTTACCTTGGGTTTAAAATAGGGTGCACTCTGATCTGCTAAGAAGACTATTAAGTCATTTCCTACAAGAAAGAAACAAATGACTTTAGAAAAAGTGATTTTTGGAAAATCATCCAGTCAGTGCCTAAAAACTTTTTGGGTACTGTTTCTACAAGAAAAGTTTTATTCTAATCTAGTCAGAAAGCACTGTCAAGATAATTTATACAAATCTAATGGAACATAGGGAGAGGGAAGTAGGGAAAAGTGTATTTATTCAAGGCAAAATGAAGCCATAGGATTCCATTAAGAGGCAGATGGGTTAGCTTAATAAATTAATGCATTAAAAGATGGATTAATGCAAGGAACATACCTTAAACTATACTATTCCATACCAAGTATGAGACCCTGGTTTGATCTGCAGCAATACAGAAAGCACGCACGCGCGCGCGCGCGCGCGCGCGCGCACACACACACACACACACACACACACACGGCCTCATTATATACTGATTCTGTTAAGCCTTGTGTTTTCTACATCCAAACAGGTCTTTCTTATATGAGGCTGTTTATTTCATCATACAGATCATCATACCAATGATACAGGGATTCCTATTACATTTTCTTCTCACAACTAACAATACAATTCAATACATAAGCAGAAAAAGCAGAGTCCTCCAAATTTTTTTCCTTTGCTTACTATGGAGCTATCTTCCACTATCTTCCATGTGGCTTGGGCCATGAAACTTTGTTAATGCTCACTGGGACAGACTTCAGAAATGCTCAACCAAACCCAGGATATCTTTAAAGTTAAGGATGCCTCTGAATCCAGTTTGGATAGATGAGCTATAGGCTTCCAGCATTCTTGCAATGTGGGTAATCATTCAAATAGAGGAAAAACATCCAGGTCTTTAAAGAGGTTCTGGGGTGCTGAAAAAGGCCCTCAAAAGTCTTTTTCAAGGATCCTGTCACTCAGCTCTGTATCAGCTGTTAACTTTATTTCATGGCCTTGGTCCTTAACCAGCACCTACTGATGAATGCCTTTTGTCAGCATCAAAATATATACATATATATTTTTAAGGCTTAACATGGTTAATGAGCTTTGAAGAATGCCAAGTTGGCAAGAGATGTGCAAGACTACAGTGATAAGGTGTTGAAGACAACAATAGTAATCAAGATGAGGGAGGGCCAGGTGTACTACACTAAAGATGAGGCAGCTCGTGCTGGAGAAATCTGTAGGTTGAGAAAGTATGGACAAGGACGACTTGCGTTTATCAGTAGTTAACAACAGATGCTGTGTGGCTCTAGAGAGCTTGATGCCTTAGGAGGGCACAGTGCCTTTGAAGACAGATAGATCTTAACAGAAGGAAGGGCGGATGATTTGAGTCAATGGTGAAGGCAGTGCACCTCTCATAAGAAGAAACTGTCAAGTTGCATCTCTTCCGACCAAGGAGGCAGAACACTGGGCGCTTAAGAAGGGAAAGCAAAAGCAGAGGCCAGAAACAAAGATTCTTACGAATCATGAAGAACTTTTGCAGATAGGTGATTGATTATTCACTAGGTGAAGGCTACATGCTTGTGGGTGAAGGGAGGCTGGTATGTTCCTAAGGGTGGGGAGCTGATGGTCAAACCGTGGGGTGTCTGGGTCAGGACCTGGGGTTGATAAAAAGCGGAGAAAGCTGTCAAGGATGAAAATACAGGGAGAGCCAGAAGGCTGGGAAATGCAAGAGGAAGGGTACCAGGAGCAAGGGGGCGTGAATACACAGGGAGGGGCAAGTAGAGGGAGGGCCGGCAAGCACTGACTTTCCCGAAGCACGAAGAGGTCCGTCTGTTTGTCGGAGTTGAGGTCCCCGAAGGCCGCCAGGGTGCCCCAAGCCTCGGCCCCAAAGAGCTCCGCCGTGACGTTGTGCAGAGCCCGCGCCGGGGCAGGCCCAACGCTCAGCAGCGCGAGCCCCAAGAACAGCAGCGCCGGCAGTGCCCCGGCGCTCGGCAGCAAGCTTGCCGCCATGGCGCCCTCGGCCCGGCCGGCCTCCGCTGCGCTTGACGGCAGCCGCAAAGCACCGTGCGACCGGCCGACCGAGAAAAGACTCTAGGTGTGGGCTCACGGGCAGCCCCTCGCTGCACTCTCACGCTCGCCTGGGGCTGTCACTCCGACGACCAGAAGGCCAAGGAGCTAGGGCGGTGTCGGCCTGGGAGCTCACTTCCGGCTGGCGTGCCTCCCGACAGTGTCGCGCGAGGGGGCGGGGCCGGGCGAGCGGTGCTGACAGGCAGTGGGGGCAGTGGGCACTGCGCGATGGCGGGGTCGGAGGCACGCATGGCCGAAGTAAGCTGGAAGGTCTTGGAGCGACGAGCCCGGGCCAAGCGCTCAGGTTTGACTGCCTGTGGCAACAACCTGCCCCGAGGGGTGCAGTGGGTGGTGCTCTTCCTCAAGTCCCCTGGAGCGAGGCCGGTGTGATCTCTCCTGGGGGATCAACTTGTGTCCCTAGGTTGACTTCAGAAAGCAGTAGGTGGCCCTGACCTTCTTGGTCTTGTTCCTCTATTCCCAACTCCCCACCTCCTGCACTTTCCTCATTTAGAAAACTTCTGTATTTCTCCCCCAAGTTGTTTCCTGTCCAAAGTTAGCCGCAAGCTGACTTCTCCAGAAAGTTACCCCTATAAGTCAAGCAGTGGGACAAGTTCTTAGGAAGGAAAGGGTGCCCAGCACTCCTCTTGCCCTCAAAAAGCAGACCTTCATTTTTAGTGAGGTCCTAAAAACTTGTCGATACTCTTGTCTTTGTTCATCTTCCTCTGTAATTTTGAGCTGCAGCCAATGCTGTGTGCCAGAAATTGAGGAAGACAGGGTCTGGGCCACAAAGTAAGTTAGTGTACCGTTTGGGTTCAGAATGAAATTGGCCTCTTCCCTAGCCAAGTGATCCCAGCACCCCTAGTTTCCAGTTGTGGTGCCCAACCACGAAGATTAGTAGAAGCCAACAGTCCCAAGTGTCCTGAACTGACTTCTTCAAATTGCAAAGTCACTGACGACTTAAAAGTTAGTACTCCTGTTTAATAACTCCTCAGACAGCCAGGATTGAAACGGCCTCTATTGAAACTGAATATAATCTTGAGCAAAAAGTGAGGTGACAAAATGATAAACCTTGAACCCAGAACCTTTCCTTGTAGAAGATTAAGGAAAGATTGTAGAAAACACCGTATTCATTAAAGTATTGCCAATTTCGTTCTGTTTTAAATGTTTAAAAATGTATTTTTTTAAGATTGTAGTGTAACAACCACATGAAAAGTAAGAGAATTTTTCAAAAAGTGGTTGACTTGAGTCAGTACAATTACTTGAAACAGTCTTGGGGATATTTTTTCTACATTGTCTTAATTTTTTTGTTTGTTTTTGTCATAGAAATACTGTTTGGTTGCTATCAGTGTGGCTGTGGGAGTATAGAAAGTTAGTACGCTTTTCTCTCTGGGCAAAGAGAATAACTAGTCTTGTTCCAGGGACTTGACCAATGTCCCCAACATTTATTTTTCTTTCAAGAAGCATACAGAGTTTTCTCTTTAAGCCGTTGTTTTACTCAAATACATGTCACAGCAGTTAACTGTTGAAACTCTTACTTTTCTTAGCAGGGTAAATTTTGTTTTGTTTTACTGTTGTTGAGTGTAGTTTTTTAAACCCAATCCCATGCACAGTGGTTGCCTGGATAGTATCAATGTCAAATGTTCCTGGAAGTTTACTTCATAAGAGTAGAATTTAAGTAGAAGTTTAAAAAAAAAGATAGCAGTTGGTCAGATCTTTAAAATTAGTAGATAAGTTTGCAGTTTCTGATTTTCTGACTCTGAGAAATATAGACAATAGACCTTGAGCCATATTATTTACTTCCTGCTTACTACAAAGAATTAACTTGATTCTGTTCACAGCTTTCAGGAGAGTATATAAACAGTGTGGTTTGCAAACATGAATTAGCTTGTTTCTAGGCTAGAGTCCTCTTTAGCGTTCTGAGCATTGTTACATAGCAGCACAGCAACATTACTGTACAAAAAGGGTGCTGCTAACGAAATGTTTCTTAGTAAGTGGATATTAGGTCTCTGTCTATTCATGTACGCAAACTTAATTTACCAAGTAAAGGAAACCAAATTATTAAGTCATAAAAGACAAACCAAAGTTATATGATGATCTTCAATTGTTTCTGCACACTGCATCATGCTAATAACTGCTCATACTGCTTTCAATTAATCTAATGCTGATTGCTTCTAACCTTCACTAAACAGTTTTAAAATCGGTGTAGTTTAGCCTGCAACACTTATGATAAGAATCAGCAGTTTGAAATGGCCAACTCACCCGATGCAGCCTTCTCGTCACCTGCTTTGTTAAGGTCTGGTAAGTGCACAGACCCCCAAAAGGGTCAACTGACAATTTTATATACTGTTGTTTCCTAAGGTTGATGTCACTATATGCTGATTTCGGTTTGGTTTATTTCCTCTTTGATGGATCCAACTTTGAGCACCATTTCAGTTAGTGTTGGGCCTATGCTTCCATTGTATTTTGAATGTGTCTGGTGGTACACAAGGAAGGCAAAAGGTGGAGGCCTGTCCTGACAATTCCAAGCTATTTGACCAAAGGCCGTTCCTTAGTGCCTGGGAACCTTAGTTGTCAAATGGACTTGTACTACTGATTTTTAAATGATTATTTTTTCATTTTCTAGGTATTGTCAATTGAACTGTAGTGCCCACAAATGTGCAAGTGTCTCCGTAGTGTGGTCTAAATTCCTCTGGGTACGTGCCCAGATGGGTAGGTTTATTTTAGGTTCTTGGCAGTCCTTCACCCTTATTTGAAAAGTCGTTGCTTTAGTGTACAACCCCACTAGCAATTTATAACAGTTGCCTTTATTAACATTGATGGCGGCATTTTTTATCATTTGTGATGATGACCATTCTGACTGGGGTGAAATGGACTTCCAGAGTAGTTTTAATCCACATTTCCCTGATGTTCCAGGATGTTTATGACTTTTAAAAGGGTTTCTTAGATGTTTGTAATTCTTTTGAGAGCTCTCTTCTTGGTTCCATAGCCTATGTGGTAATTTGTTTATTTACTTTTTACAATTCCCCTAGTCCACTGAAATGGGGAGTTTTCCTCTTTTGCCATCTGCCCATAGCTTATCATCAGGACTGCCTGCATGTTCTTCCTCTGTCACCTGGCAAGGCCACATCGCCAGGGACACGTGATCAAAGAGCAGGCAATGGAGTTCATGACAGAGGCAGCTCCTGCTCCCCTTACTTGGGAACCCACATAGAGACTGAGCTGCCTTTGGGCTACATCTGAGCAGGGGTCCTAGGTTCTCTCTATGCATGGTCCTTGGTTGGTGCCTCAGTCTCTTCAGGACCACCTGGACTCAGATATTTTTTGCTTTGTTACTCTCCTTGTGGGGTTCCAGTCCCCTCCATGTCCTCCTATTCCCTCCTTCTTCCATAAGACTCCCTACACTCTGCCCAAATATTTTTTTTGAGTTTAGGTTTTAAAAATTCTTTGTATATTCTAGTTAGTAATTCTCTCCACTCAGCTGTTTCTTTTGCTATACAGAAAACCTTTTAATTTTATGAGAGCTCATTTGACCATTTGGTCTTATTTCCCATTTTATTCTTAAAACCCTTTATATATGTTAAAGTGACTTGTTGCTTTTTCATCTGAGTAAGTTTTGGCATCAGGTCTTATACTGAAGTCTTTACTGGATCTGGAACTTAGTTTTGTACAGGGTGGGATATAGGGATCTAATTTTGTTCTTCTCCTTGGTGATGTCCAGGTTTTCTAACCATCATTTGCTGAGGATGCTGTCTTTTCTCTAATACAGGTTTTTGTCTCTTAGTGGATAATCAGGTAGTTTTAGTTTTGGGGACTTCCATCTAAGTCCTCTGTTTATTCCACTGATGTATGTGTCTGTAGTTGTGCTGATACCATTGTGTTTTTATTACTGTGGCTCTGTAGAATAACTTGAAGTCAGGAATGGTGATACTTCCTATGTCAATATTGCTTTGGCTTTTCTTGGTCTTTTGTGCTTCCATATAGATTTTAAGATTGCATTTTCACTGCTGGGATGGAAAGGTATCCTGGGACTCTGGAGGTCAGTGACCACACAGCTCTGAGAGGAAGCCTCCTCAGTAGAGACATTGCAGCCTTGAGGGAAGATATCCTTGGCTGAGCTAGAGTGCTACAGAGTAGTAGCTCCACATTCCCACTCCTCATTCTTGTAGTTCCTAGGGGAGGGTATCCCAGCTTGGCTGAGGAGCTCAGGATCCTCAACCCTGCTCTGCTTCTCTTCTTCCCTTCTTTGCTTCTTGGCTTCTTCTGATGAGAGAGTCACACCAGGCAGTAAATCTCATAAAAGAGATTTATTGGAAGGGATAAATCTAAGGATCGGAGGGACGACTCCAGGATTGGGTGTGTCTGCTTCCAGGAGAAGACAGCAGGGAACTGAATAGTAGGCAGGGCTTATATAGGATTTCTTGGGGTGGGGGATGGGAGAGTAGAGATTTCCAGGGTGAGGATTTGGTGGGACTATAAATCTTAAGCTTGGGGAGCTCAGTGATTGGTGGGTTTTTCTGTTTACAGAATAGTAGGGTTTTTCTTATAGGGAGGTGTCTGAGCACCCCCCACCTTGAGGTTGGGAATGACAGTTATAGCCCTTAGAAAATGACTGTTAGTGCCGTTAGGGAAGTCTTGGGACCAGAACCTGGCTACTGGAGCTCCTCAGGCCTGGCCTGATCACTTTTCTGCCTTGATGGTTTTCAAAGTTTACAAAGGGAGTCCACGGCAGAGCCTATTTGCTTGAGTTAGTGTGAAGAGCCAACAGTAAAGGCTGTGGTTGAAATCTGATTGGGTTTGCATTGAATCTGCAGGTTGCCTTTGGTAGGATAGCCATTTTCATAATATTGATTCTTCCAAGCCATGAGCATGGGAAACCTTACTATGTTCTAGTGTCTTCCTCAATTTATTTTTTCTTTAGAGAAGTCTTTTCATTACCTTGATTTATTCCCTTGGTTTATTCCCATGCATTTTACTTTTTGATGGCTACTGTGAATGAGATTATGTCACTGATTTCCTTTTTAGTATGTTTGTCATTGATTTATAGGAAGGCTGTTGATTTTTGTGTGCTCATTTTGTAACCTGCCACTTTGCTGAAAGTATCAGCTCTAAAAGAATTTTGTTGGAATGAGGGTCCCATGTATAAGATTGTATCGTTGGCAAACGGTGATACTTTAATATTCTAAGACTTTGATTGCCTCTTTACTTCTTTCTCTTGTCTTATTCTTGTTAAGACATCAGTCACTATATTGAATTCAAGTTTAGATAATAGCCATGCTTTTCTTGGCTCTCATTGTAGTGGGAATG